AACACACAACCACAAACACGCAACCACAAACACGCAACCACAAACACACAACCACAAACACATCCACAAACACAGCCACAAACACACAGCCACAACCACAACTACAAACACACAACCACAAAGACAACCACAAACACACAACCACAAACACAATAACAAACACACAACTACAAACACACAAGCACAAACACACAACTGCAAACACACCACAAACACACAGCCACAACCACAACTACAAACACACAACCACAAACACAACACAGCACACAACCACAAACACAACACACAACCACAGCACACAACCCGAGGACCCACAAACAAAATCGAGTATACAATACTCACGGCCATGGCAACATGTTCCTCACTATGGCATCAAGACAAATGATTGAAATGTCATGGTGGGGATCACTCGAAGTAATGTGTTTTCTCTTTTTTCTCAAAATTTAGAGACTTGCCGATCAGCTGCTGTCGGGGTCTGGTTGCACTCAATGATCGTCGGCTCGGGCAAACTGTCCCCGTCGCAAGCTTCCAGAGCGCTCACTCGGGCCGCCAACTTCCTCAGGGGACGCGGGTTGCATGGAGAGATACAAAGGAAATGGGACCTGGGTGGGGTCACAGGTGATCAAGGGTGATTGACATCTATATTGGCTCAAGTTGCTGCACTAAGCATTCTAGTTGCTTCTAACGTCCTCTAGCTATTTAGCAAGCCTCTCCCAGCACATCCCAGTACCAACCACCACCAATGGCCCACCAACGGCGATCTGCTGCTGAGCAGCTCCACTTCCACTTGGAACTCACGACGCAACCACTCCAGTTCCGCGCGGGTCAAGGCCTCCGCATCGGGGAGGCCATGGGGCTCTTCCTTGGCTCCGTGGCACGCACGAGCTGTGCCAGGATGTGGACATGCCAAGCCTGAAACATTGGCTCTCTATGCTCTCTGCTCTCTAACTGCTCTTTGGTGAGGCTGTTGGGTTCAGCTGCGGCATGCAGCTGAGAGGCCAAGGCAATGCGCAAAGCACTTGGGGTAGGCATGGCATCCGTTTCGGTGTGCTTTCGGCGTCCGACGTGTCAAGTTGGTGACGGTATGTGGGTGAGTCATGAGTCAAAAGGGCTCAAAGTCTCGTCTCCCACAGTTTACCTTCAACAGGGAAGTATGTTTTTCCTGTCCTCAGTTCCGCACAAGCGACTCTTTCACTGCAAGGATGGGACAATGGAAATCGCCCTCAGCATAAGGAGGTTCATAACTGATGGTGCACCTAATGGCGCACGTATATAAGCGTGAATACAGAATACATATCAAGAAAAGTGCGCGCATGGCTTATGTGCTTCCTGATTCTTTAGCGCATTGAGTGCAAAGCTGAAGAGCGTGGCGGCATGGCTTACTCTTCACTAGGCCCTTTGGCTCAAGGCTTCGGCTTCGCTCCAACTGGCACACATGGGTGGACTGGTATTAAGAGTCATCAAAAACAGAACGGTACGTAAGCAAACACCCCTTCTTTTCATGTTTACATATGCTTACCACAGTGGAGAGTTTTCATCCAGCGCCTCAAGTTAATTGTTTGCGGCTCCCGGACCTCTCGCAACCATGTCCTGCTGCAACCATTGCCCCCGCAATCCAAAGAAGATGCTTGGGGCGCTTCTATTCTCCACCTGGTTTGTTCTGGCGCTCCCTATGCCCCTTGAACCCCTGTTGGTAACCCTGGTGGCCCACCAAAGCAGCCAACCAGCATGCAGTTTTTGCCCTTTGGCGGATCTGCCCAAGTTGCTTTGCACCTGGGACACAGTCGAACGTGGTTCAACCAGAGCCACCAGTGCTGTTGTCAGTCCTATTCACTGCACAGCTGCGGGGGGCAATACTTCGGTGGAGTGCCCGAGCGGCATCCACAGCTCACGGGACAATAGTACCCAAAGGCCCGGAAAAGCTCCGGGTCGCCCTCACACCAGAATCTCTGGCTGGTGTACTGCGCAGGGGAAGGCAAAAAAAGAACCAGCTCCAAGAAGGAGCTTGGGTTAGGCCGTGAGTTTCTCCAAGTCTGCATGATAAAGGAAACAGCAAGAAGACGATGGAAAAATAGATAGAGAGAAAGAGACACACACACACCCACAGAAACACACACCAAGAGATAAAATATAAATGGATGCGCATAACAATATGCTGTAGATAGAGATGTTTTTTGAAATATATATATATATGTATATCTTTTCCGCTTGCAGACTCGAAGGCTCCCTGGAGTGTGCTCAGATTTTCTTTTGGAAGGAGACACTCAAAGCTGGATGTCAAACTCCCTGATGAAAACGCCCGGTCGATTCAAGATGTCTCAAATGAAAAGCCAGCTCACATAGGAAGATATCAGAAGTCCAAAATTCTTTTCCGCTTCTTATTTGCTACCCCGTAGAGGCTAAGACATGACACTGCACACTCCAGGCGGCAGCAGACAACTTCTGGATCTTGTCTTTTGAACTTGGTTTCAAGCTATGTACCATCACAAAGGCGCCCACTTCTTGTAGGTAGTACTCTAGAGTTCTAACTCGCGCCCATCTGCCGCGCCAAGCGACCAGCTCAAGTCTTCTGAAGCACAGTACAGATGTGTGGCGCCGTAAGACTCCGGGGGTCGCACCCCTGCCTGCTTGTGAGTGTGGTACTCCCAGATGCTGCATAATGCAATTCCACTGCTTTGGAAAAACATTGATTGAGCCAGGAAAAAGCTTAGTATCCGGAGACAAAGAACCAAAAACTTGTTGCGCCACCCAAATGATAGATTCATCATCTATACGGCCATGCTGCCTTCGCGCAAAACGCGCGGTCTTCGGATCTCTGATGCGCACAAACAAACTCTGAGTGTCGTGAAACACGTCCGAAGGAAAAATCTAATCTCGTCGTTCCAAAGCCATCATCTCTGATGGATGCAGCGTGGCACCAAAACCCAGCAAGACGATAGCAGCCCATGCTGGCCAAGACCATAGGCAAGCGAGGCAAACTGCAGCACGTATGATCATGGGTGGCAGCACCGACCAGCACACGCCCGGCTCGTACACCTGCCATTTCTTGTCGACTTGCCATGCCAATGTCATAAAGTTGCGTGTCAACGGATATACATCCTGCATCCCTGTGATCGCATACACAAAAAGGTAACGCGGCAATCCAGTTTCAAAGCAATAAAGTCCGTAACCTCTCAAGGCCAGACAAGTGGCCTGCGGATCAGAGACCAAAGCGTCCCATGAAATCCCTACTTCAATTTCCAGCCAAGCGCGAAAGCCGTCAGTGCACTTGGACATCAAGGTCAAGTTTTCCACGACCTACACGCTTTGAAGTTGGAAAAACCTTTTCAGGCTCAATGTCGCCACCAAGCAACAAAAGGAATCTGAGCCACCTGGCGGCCAACTTGGGAATGCCACTGGATGCCACGACTTGGTCAAAACGCCAAGTGGAACCTGCTTTCAAATCAACGAACCATCTGCGCAACTCCTTAGATGGCGGGCGGACCGGATGGTCCCTGGAAGGATCATCTGCGCGATTATCAGCTGAATAGCATTGCAGAGATCCTAAGTACAAACCACTGCCAATGACATAGGGAATAGTGCCTTGCAGAACTCTGCAAATGGCATAGCTACTGGACCTACCTTTCGCCGATGCCCCAATGGTGACTCGACTAGCAAGGCCACCACACGAGAGCCTGGCTCAGCTTTGGCAAGAGGCTACTGCACGAAGGAAGGCTTCTCGGGCCATGCAGCCCTTCACTCCTGAGCTTGATCCTGAGCCGCTGTCCAAGCCGCCTCCCTGAAGGGCACCCAAAACTGGGTCTGAGGACTTGTTTCCCACCAGCTTCTGCAAGAGCACCTGATTTTGTTGCATCTGGACCATCAACATTTTTTTGGAGAGGATCTGAGGTCGCCTAGCAGAGCTTCCAAGTCCACTGGATCCACTGCATCTTGCTCCTCCTCGGCCGCCTCCCGCTGGAGATCCACTTGCCTCAACAGGAGCGCTTGACCCGGGGACGCCAACAGCTGGCCCTGTGGCAGAGCCTGAATGGACTGCATACTCTCGAGCTCTGCAATGCGAGCTTTGAGCGAATCCACTTCCGATGCAGCTTGACAGGGATCGGCCGGCCTGAGCTCTGGTGTGCTCGGAGCATACTGCGACCCGGCCTCTTCTCCTGTGAAATAGTCCTGAGCTGTCAGGGGCCCCATGATATCTAACCACTCTTGGGCTAACTCGATGACTGATGCTTTGACGGGTCGACCCAAAACGCCAGTGCTCGACAGGAAACCTACCAGCTGGCTTTTCTGCGTAGAAGAAAGTCGGCCGATGGTGACCAAGGCCGAAGCGAACTCCCAAGGCAAATCTACCAGTTCGATAGTCAAATTTCCATCCCGCCTGCCACGTGCGGTTTCGAAACGAGCCTCTCCGGAATGGAAAATGGGCTCGGCGGCTGATGTTGCAGCCTGAGGTAATGCCAGCATGAGCCCACCCGGACCACCAAACATTGAACCAAAACTGGGGGAGAACTGTCTGACTCTTCCCTTTGTAAAAACACAGCCGGCTGGGACCTGGGATGCCAGGTCTCGGATCGCCCTCTCTGAGAGGGCGCCACTCAGGCCTGAGCTGGCCATCTCCTCCGAGCCCCGGAGAGATAGCACGCCGCGTGGTCTGCCAGAAAGGGCAGTGGCAAAGCAGCTAACTGAGCAGCTGTCTCAGCCGCCAAAGCTCGTTCCTCAAGGGCTACGGTGATGAGATTCGGATCCGAGAAATCTGGTGAGTCAGAACGTTCCTCAACAACTGCGGAGACAACTGCTGATGATGAGTATCCTGAAGCAGTCTGAGATGGCCGGACACTGATGGTAATGTCAAGCCCTGCCAATTGCACTGTGATGGATTCCACCTCTGGGCTGAGAGTTGACCTGATTTGCATCAACAGGATCTCCGGTACTCAGCCAAGCGATCTCGAGGGCCACTGATATCTGCAGTGACTGGTGAAAAAGTACAAATGCCAACCGCACCAACCCAGATGCAAACTTTCGACACTGAACCGAAAATGCAAATGCCCCAATGCAGATTCCAGCCAGGCAAGAGCAACAGCACAAGACGATCAGAAAAAGTCCAATGGCACCCCAAGGGCAAGTGGTAGGAGCAGTGAACAGGAAACGGACTTCTCGAAAGAGGTCCGGCAACCACCAGGGCACAACCATCTGCAGCTTGAACCCCAAAAAGCTCTGGAGCAATCGAGAATCGGACCGCTTCATGAGATGGAAGTCAATTATACAGTAAATAGATCTCGGTGTAGACGAGATTTGGTTGGTCGAGGTAGATAGAGATGGAGACATGGAATTTATGTTTTCTGCGTGATGTTCAGGTCTTCTGTTGTTCTATCCTCTTGCTGAGATGTTCAGGTGGTGTATTGCTTTCTCAGCCGGCACACAAGCCGAAGAAGCGTGCTCAAAACCAAAAGTTGGCCAAATGCGCTTACTCAAATCTCAGCTTACTCAAAGAAGTGCGCTAAACGAGTTTGGTTTCGGTTCCCAGGCAAGCTTTGAACTGTCCTCCTAGGATCACCTAGGTTAATCAGCAATTTTGCCACAAGTGTCCCCCAGCAATGCAATTCTAAGCATCAGGGAACCACTGAACCACTCAGACTGGACCTCACCGTCACTGTCCCAATTCGGACCTCCTTGTTAAGCTCCGGATGTAGAAGTGCACTGCAGCCCAGACCCTTCATTGCAGCGATCCTGGGAGTGGAAGATGCGGTTTGCAAAGACTCTTGACAGAGGCATCTCAGATTCTGAATTTTGGTACAGCATTTGGAAGGAGGATGGCTCAAGGGCTACGTCCATTTTTCAACATGCCGGTGTTTCGCCAAGAATGCTACTGGGAATCACTGGAGGCCTTCACTCCCTTCGGGTCTGAAATGCGCGTCACATTTCAGCCAAGCATCTGATTCTGGATGTCGCGGAAGAAGGTCGTGGAGGCCGTGACGTCCTTGCAGGCGAGAGACATCAATCTCTGTGACTTGAAGAACACCTTTTACGCTTCACGGTGCGCGGCCAGGCCACAACACACGAAATCTGAAATCTCGAAGGTGACCTCCGGTCCTCAATATAACATTGAGGAAGTTGGAAGCGATAGATTTGTGTTAAGGTCGCAGAAGCATGTGGGTGTTCAGTAGATCGGCAAATTGCACGACTGGCAATGTAAGCGCTTGTTTCTAACAACTTGTTGGGCTATTGTTAGTGCTATTTGCCAATTTGCCATGAGACCTTTTGAGGATGGTTGGACATTGTTTACGGGGGTGGGTGGTCATGCAGTAGGTTGTGAATGGTTCTTTTCCGCGGTGGTGGATGGTCAATGCTTTGAACGATACATCAACTTCAGTCCAGCCCCTTCTGAGCACCCTGATGGGACTGTGAACCCCCTCCCAACCTCATGAGATCTCTTTGAGATGCACTGCTGGAGCTCGTGTCCACTGTCCACCTATCACCCCAAACTGGCACCAGGCAACGGTGCCCAGCTTGTAACTCAGCGCCGGGATGTAGGCATCCCAAAGCCTCGGGCTCTCGCCCCGAAGAGCTCGGACCAGGAAACTGACAACGCTTCGACTGGTGACGCTCCTCCGCCCCTTCATCCCGCCCCTCGGCATTCCAAGAGGCTCAGACCACCTGGAGTCTGGTGCTACATCTTGGCAAATTTCAGAGGCCTTCAAGGCATCCTCGGCCATTTGCAAGCAGAACTCCTCGGCTCAACAAAAGCCATCCGTCAACGGATCGAGTCGATCGAGTCAAGAATAGTTCATAGCGAGTTGAACTCTCTTACCACTTGCACTATGTTATCTATGTTATGTCAAGGTGTTGGTTGCCCTGGTAGCTATGGATGTCATTGGAAGGGCACGCAATGAGGCTGAAACAAGGCATGGCCCCTCCGAGGGCGTCGCGCAGACAGAGAGAGAGAGAGAGAGAGAAAAAAAAAAAGACGGGGAGAGAAATGAGTTTGTGAGATGACGAGTTGCGTGAGAGATGAGTTGTGTGAGATGACGAAGAGGAGGAGGAGGAGGAGGAGTGGAGAAGAAGGCGGAAGGAGTAGAGACAGGAAAACAAAACAAAAAAACACAGTAGGGAATGAAACATGCATGAAACATCTAGATCCTCTCACGCGTTCGATGAAGGACACTCCGTGATCGCACCAGACCCACACATCGCCACGTCTCGTTGGGCCGAGCCTCGCTACAGCCCAGGGCTGGGACTTTAAACCACACCTTGGAGTGTGGATCGGTGCCTGAGTGCCGAAACAGCCAGACACAGGAAAGGTCCCTCAAGCTCTAGGCTGTTTCAATGGAAGTGGACAGGTGCAGAAAGCGTGGCACTAGCGAAGCTCCGTCAAAGAGGAGATCGATACTGTACTTATCTTTTGGGTATAGATGGTGATGATTAGTAATGGCCTTTCTCTAAAGTGAAAATTGTCTACCGACTGTTGCAGGTAGTAGGACACCCCCAACTTACCTTATATATATATAACTGTAACTATTGTCGAACGGAAGAAGAAGCTATTCGAGGCTCCTGGCATCGCTACTAAGAGCAAGGGCGCTACTAGGGGCTCCTGGCCATACTGCTAGGAGCAAGTAGCTATAAGGAACAAAAAGCTATTAGGGGCTCCTAGAGCTCAGGAAATGCCCAAAGGTCCCAGACGCATCCACAGGTCCTGCCACACACGATGCGCAGCAGGCCAGCATCTGGCCGATCGCAAAGGTCGCTGACATTCTCCTGAACAGGTATACAAAAGGACCAGCGTGGAGAATCAGAGTCCCAAAAATTGGTTTATGAGTCTTGACGGTTGCAGTATGGCATCAAAACTCAATGCGGAGGACCATCACCTTTAGCCAGCTCATGCCAGCTCTCATGCCAACCAGCAAATCTGATCCCTCAACTTCTACTATAGTAGACGCTTTCTAATGGGCTACAGGTCACTCGCAGCTCACCGGGCCTTCTGACAATCCAACCAGCAGCTACTTTTGGCATTGGTGTCTACGGACGGGCTGGCGTAAAAGATGCAGCACTACACAGAGTCTTCAGAACGCCAATGATGGTAGCTTCAAGCTGTTTCAAGACTGCTGTTCTTGGTGTTAATGTCTCTTTCCTCAAGGGCGGAGGCAAGCTCTACAGCCCCCCCGTGGGTCGGCTTCATGATTCAGATTCATGGCAGCCCCCAATAAGGGTTCACGACGAGACGGCGCGATGGGGAAAATCGACAGCACCATCAGAATTGCCAATGCTTTGAGGACTTCGAGGACTTGTCTTTGAGACCCACTCGCATTGCCTCCCACCACAACCCCCCCGGCTGAAGCATCGCAGGCCAAGCGTCACAGCTCTCCACCTCGTAGCGGCCCAATTCGGCCGCAGCCAAGCGCAGCCGTGGGTTGGACACGTAGTTGTGGAGAATGGGATCCCCATAGAGGGATGCACCTGGAGAATCGAGAGATGGATGGAGCAAGAAAAAACACTGGACACCTGAAAAATACACTGGGATGAATTGCATATAGACTAGACCATGCATAAACGATATCACTTCGGATGTCCAAAAGTTATCTAAATTCGATCTTTCTGGCTCATCCAGGAAGTGTTTGCATAGTGCGCAGTGGAACCAGATCATGAATCAGCATGACAGGGACTCACATCACACCGAGTGTCTCCAGCTGTTTATATAATAATGTCTGTATATAATCACATTGACATCTGTGGGGCCAGATCCAAGTCATAGAACCGAAACGACCCAGTTTTGTGTGGTAGCCCAGGTGGCCTGGAGTTAGATGTTCCGTCTCCATGCAGAATCTGATCCAGCCAGCCTCCTCCTCCATGGTACGGGTTCCTCGGCACGCGACGTGGAGGCAGGCGGAGCATGCCCAGTGGGGGAGCACACGTGCCGTCCAAAATCCCAGAGCGATCTCTTGAACCAAACAAGCCTGCACAGTGCACAATTTCTTGGCAGGTCATCTTTGGAAACAACGAGACGTCCGCCCTTGCAGCCAGCGAGTCTGACAGCATCGAACTGATCCTGATCTCGGGTGAAGACGATGTAATGTCCGGGAAGTCCTCCAATCCGCAACTAACCCACCCAGCCTTATCTGATGTATCAAGCATCTGCAACCTTCCTGAAGTTCCCTGACAGGAATGAACCCAGATTCAGTCCTTATTCAGGATTCACTGAGAGCAACCCCCACCTCACCCGTCGAATGCCAAAAGAAGGGAAACTACGGGATAGAGCTGTTGCATCAAAAGGCAGGGCTCCTGGGGCCCTGACGCTTCCCGAAAACCACCCACAAATCCGAAGCTCACTCCTTATGATAACTCCGGTTTCCTCTAGGATAGGTGAAGGGTAGTTCTACATACTCGTGTAGGCTTGAGGCACTGGCCAGTGACAAAGATTTACGTACTCTAAAGATAGGGAGCACCACGGGCTTCGTGGGTACAACGTTTCCGTGACCGTTGCTGCCCATGAGATTGGTCCTCGCTGTGTGGTGGGGAGATGCCACCGCACTGCCAGCTCCTGGATGCTGGTGATGTTCTCCTCCAGGGAGGCATTGTTGGTGTCCTAAGCGACCGTGGTTAGGATCAGCCAGCACGCACAGCAAGTGGTTTACAACCTAGGACCTACAGTAGGTTGGAAAGCGCTCCAATCGAGTCTTTTGGACAAATCTGCACTGCACTGGCACTGGATAGAAAATGAATTAGTACTGAGACTGACACTGTTTGGGTTCTCATTCTACCCTGGGATGGTGAAATATGTCCTCTGACAATGCCTACAGTACCTTGTGACGGAATATACTATCACAAGCCACAAGCTCCTACATTGTACAGTATTTCAATCGACCCTGTTGCGGGGCACTTATATAAGAGAATGAATATCTATCAGGGAGTCGAAGACGGCCAACACTATAGCCCCAACCTCAAGAGGTAGTATGTGCCTTGGCCACGGGACACAAAGATTGCACAGCTTCACTCAAAAATCCTCAAAGCTTCTGCAGTCCACCCCGTTGATTCTGGACCACCATCCGTTGGTTACTTGCTGAAGCAGTCCAGATGTTGAGCGACGGGGCGGACACTTCTTCGCCAAGTGTCAAAGCCAGCAACCGGTGTTGCTGTTCCTAGAGCATCGTGGCTTCGACTTCAGTTGATACCACCAAAATAACGTTTCTTCTCAAAACTTCCATGCCCTAACTTTTCACGAAATCCTCCCTCTTGTCCTGCCTTAAAAAGCCTCATAGTCTATAGTCTAGTCTTATATTGCAGGAATGTGATCCTGTTGAAAGAATGCCCTTGAATGTCTCATGCATCTTGGCCGCCTGGAGATTTTAGACGATGGCCCCCAGACTGACTCTGACTGCACAGCGGTTTTGTGACGCCAATGCGTCTGGATCTATCCGATTCGCAAGTTTGAAATAACCGAAATCGATTGAAATCGAATAAAACCCAGGCAGGTCAAGGTGCAAGCCCACCACGAATTGCTGGTTTCCATCACATAGGATGGACTTCACCTCCAGCATCGTCTGCCCCAACGGCTCCAGAAGGGCACAATATGGGACAATGATCGTGGCAACCAGTACGAGGAAGAGCGCCAGAGACTCCTCAGGGTCCGTACCAACAGAGCTCCCTTTAGCAGAAAACATCAACTCCGACAGCAACGAAAATATATAACACAAAAAGTAAGAAGGACTGGAGGATGGCCGTGAGAAGCACTGCTTGGTCCACGGTTTGTTGGAGGGTAGGTTTTGGGACGTATTTCGGCATTCTGTGAGCCCTTTTGCACAAAGCAAAGTTCCAAGCAAACAGCAACCCGCTAGCCCAAAGGGTTGATCAAGGATGAGAAAGGCAAACAGGCAAACAGGAGCCCCAAACATCAGTTGCCCCTCAGCCTTTGATCCCTCTCTTCTAGTCTACTGAGCCTACTGTCCCTTCATGTCCCGTCTGCATACAAAGAAAACAAGACTGAAATAGCTGCAACGAGGCGCCAGCTGGCTTCTCCGGCGGGTGTGTTTCACTGTCATGGGCTCCAGCCGCTGGATGGCCAAGTGCACGGAGAGCGGAGTGAAGCCCTCGAAGAGGAACCTCGACCGGGGAAATGTCCACACTCAGATGTGAGGGGGAGTACCTTGGGTGTCTTTTGTATGCTTTTGTGCAAGTGGTGAGTACCAAATGCGAGCCATTGGCACGGCTCCTCCTTCCCCATCCTTCCCTCGGGCCTTAAGGAAGCCGAGCCAATCACTCTCAAGCTATTCCAAGGGGCTCATCGACGTCGAGAATCGCATTGAGCGCCACACAGTTCAGCATCAGCTCCTCAGGTGATTTTCATCCGCAGTTGCCATATGCCACTATGACGGGAGTCGTTTCAAGCTCATTTCTCCGCAAGAAGAAAAAGCAAGCTTCTGTGGCTCCAGTTAGGGGGGTGCGCCAACTTGAAGGAAAGAGGATTGCCCTTCAGAAAGAAGCCAATAACGCCAGGACTCGTCACCAACTAATTAGTGCCCAAGCATCCGTAATTGACGTGGTGCGTGCAAGCCATTGGACGCCAGCATAGAGCAGCACCTCAAAAAAGAGACGGACAGGACAGCAGGGGAAATTGCCGGGGCCTAGAACGGGGTGCAAGAACTTGCCTCCCAGCCAAGTCACTGCTGCAATTGTGAAGCGGGTAATGCAGTTGACCACCAGCAGTTTGAAGCGTCCTTTGGAGAGGCCTAGGTCAAAGAGTCAAAAGACCTCGAAGAGGCGCTGCTGAAGTGACATTGAAGCCTTGTCTTTGAGGGGCCTCCCACGGAACCGAATCAAAGGACAATAATGTCTTTCAGCAAGGAACTCTGCAGGATGTTGTTGCGAAGCTTCGTGCGGCATGTCCTGGGAAGATGGAAGAGGCACTCCAACGTCAACCAGATGTTCCTGAACTCCTCATCACAGAGCATGGCCACGCCCCTCAGCCCCTCAGCCCTTCAGCCCACTAAGCATGTCCGTCCACAGCAAATAATGACTACATAAACCTCTTGTGGCTGCTCTTAGGCTTTGACTGCCTCGGTTGCCTACGATGGACTTCCAATACTTCTGCTCAATCGAGTGCATTATGTTTGTATCAGTGTGTAAACCTGCAATCGTTGCTTTGTTGAAGAACGTGCTGGTTGAACATTGCGTCCTTGTAAACGCAGAGGGCCCAGAGAAGGATGCAAAGCATACAAAGCAGCTTGCCATCTTGGAAATAGCCCAACTCAAATTGATCGTAGTCCAAGGTCAAATAGCTGTTAATCTGGTCGACCAAAGTCGCCTGCACCGACTTCGACGTGAACCAGCCACCCACTCAGAGCGGTCAGAGCGGCCGGCACTATCTCCAAAAACACCTGCTTCGTGACCCATCCTAAAGGTTCCTAAAGTGAAGTCAACTAGACCGACCCAGGCCCCACCGGCTTGAAACGACCGAAACCATTCGCTCCACCTCCACCGCGCGACCCAAACGACGCGTGGCGACCATTGAGCGATCGACCAGCCTGAGAGGTGGCCAGGATCAAGGAGCCGTCACCCCAGCAAACCCGAGACACCAAACTTCTGGACGTCAAGTCCAAATACCTAGCGATGTGGACTCGGACGATGACATGTTTTCTCAGCGATTTTTGTTCAACGAGGTGCCTTCCAGTGCCACACTAATATAAGGGTGGTAAGACATGGTCATTTCTCATCAAGGATTCTGAAATTGAAGTCGAAAGGTTGTCTTTTCAAACTCTTTTCAGAACTTTCACAAAGATAAACCCTTGGTACTACCCTCGGTGAAGACTAACGTCGGTGGCTGAGATGGGCCCTTTTGGGAGGCCTATTGTTGCAAGATCTTCGCGCTATTTCGTGCTTCTATAAGGAAACATGGGAAGGCAAGATTTCTCCAGCACTTTTCCTTTCCAATCCAAGGACTCAACTCTATCCTTCAACGAAACGAACTCTCCAAATTGGTAGTGTCCCTGAGATCTTCTGGAACCGTTTTTTCGCTACCCACCGCCGTGAACTGAGACCAACCGTAGTGAACTCAGAAAGAACTCAGACCAATGGGCGGTGGAAATGGAAGGGAAAAGGAATTCTTCTTCGTGCATGTTCAGTTGGTTGCAGCGTTGCAGCACAGCCGAACTGAGGGATCCTCCTCGTAAGCTCCAGCAGTTGAAGCCAGGAGACTTGTGATCATGTGCAAAGCTGCTGCGCCAACGCCTCGCGCAGCAGATTCATGCGTCAATCCAAACAAAGCAGGTGGTGTTAGTCCGCGTCCGTGTCAATGGAGTCCGTCGTCCCACTCCACGAGTCTGGCCATCGTCCGAGTGGACGGCTTCCACCGACTTGGACACCTCGCGAAGTCCAACTGCAAGGCAAACTCCGAACCCATGAAGCCTTCACCTGGCGGTCAGCGATGGGACCAGTGTTTGTTGCATATTGCTACCACTGCAACCGCGACCTGCATTTCGCCCACCAGCAAGGCGAAAAGTGCTTGGATCTTTTAAGAATATCTGACCACTGCAAGGAGGAAAGATGTTCTTTTTAGAATGTCGGCCAACAGCATTCTTCTATACATCTTGCCATCAAGTCACCCAGGATGATGTAGGAAAAGCCTGCTTGCATGCCTTGGTTGGGACAGCAACGATTTTTGGCTGGCGCTTGAATGGCAACCAAAACAAAAACATGTCAACAGAAATTTCTGTCTCACTATATAACATGGAAGTGGAAATCCCCCTGTTATCTAGTAACAAGTGCATCGCTTCTAGTAACAAGTGCCTTACTAGTAGTAACAAGAAGCTACTAGGGGCTCCTGGCCATACTAGTAGTAGCAAGAATGCTACTAGAAAGCAGTCTTCCAGGGAACCATGCCATCCACTTCCACGTCAGTGAGTCAGAGTGTACTGGGCTGGTGGTGAGCCTCGCTTTGAGCTAGTGGTCTTCCACCTGGTGCCAACCTCCACTATCACCACCTCTTCCAAAAATGCTGATCTAGCCACTGCAAGAACCCATCGACCCTGCAAATGGCAGGAATGCAGTCCATCCAATGGGATCATTCTATTGTCGAGTCTATTTGAGACCGGACCTAAGAGTCAAATATCATATACAAGCTAAGATTAAGTTATGTCATATACTGTATCTGGTTTGGATGTGTTTTCTTTGGTCACTATGACTGTCACCAGGACATCCCAAGTTTTGTTGCGGGTGCAGACCCCGGCGGTCCCCGTGAACCGCGGTTGTCGAGCGGCCCAGGTTCAGCAGCATCAGCAGGATCGAGAAGATCACATCCCAAAGGCCCACATCCACCAAGCCAATCACCACGGGGTAGGTCCAGGCACTCTCGCTGAAATGCACCAGGCCAACGACCGCCTCGGGTTCGACCGGTGACCGTTTGAAAACACTATAAGGACGACATGGGAGGCTGAAATGTCCAGATTTGATTGATGCTGAAAATCTCTGCATGATGGAGACAAGCCTAAGCGACACCTTTGTCCAAGATGTGTTGCCAAACCGCCACACTCATTGCACAGGATCACAGGGCTGCATCCCATCACATCCAACGATCATCCGGTCACCTGAAACTCGTCCAAGCTTCAGCTTCCTCACACCAGCTCTTCTCAAAGATGCTCTTTTTGCTGACCTCAGCCTCCTTCTTCGGGCTTTCCTGGCCAAGAAGAGTCTAGTGAGTCTAGTGCACAGAACACTTGGAGAATCACTGGCGACATGGAAAAAAAAGGTAACCACAACACTCTTCCAAGTGCCAAGGGTCGGCTACAAGTGCCACCTCACCCAAGTTGTTCTCTCCCAAGTTATTCTCGGGCTCATTGCTCTCCTTGGCATCTTTGGCTAGAGATCGAAGAAAAAAACTCGCTGGAATAGAAGTGCGATGTGAACATGGCGACAGCATCAGCAGCCGAGCAAAAAGGAGAAAAGCACTGCAAAAAGAAAAAGAAAAGGTTACTGTACTATGTGCATATGTGTGCGCATATATATATATATACATACATATATTGTGTGTCTATACTATACATGTATATACAGTGGATATATATATATATAAAGAGAGAGAGAGAGAGATTATCGTGCGGGTGCGGGTGTGTCACTATCACAACGGTCACCTCACCATGATCCTGCCAGTTCCAGCACGACCCAGAAACCCTGCCGAGCGCCCAGCCCACCCATGGCCACCCTCGACCCCGATGCGGCGGCCCCACACAGCCACACAACCGCATCCGAGCCTTCAATCCACGCACTTGGTGTGTCCAAGGGTCAGCTGGCTCACCCAAGGTCTTCTCGGGTTTGATGTCTGTTCCAGCCTCAGTGGTATCTCGACCGAATGACAAATCCTATTGGCTGCCTTGGCCCCTCAAATCATCCCAAAAACAGCTCAATCTCCATGAGGGATTGCCAGGCAGCGCTTCTACCCAACTGACTTGACGTCCCAAGCCTTTCGAGTACCCAAACGGATGCCAAGACGCTTTTAGCTGGTCCTCGACCGCGTTCAAACGTGCCACCACTTTGGAGAGCTCGAAGTGGAACTCCTGCGTGGCGGCATGGCGGGTTTGTGACTGAGCGGCACCAATATGCCAAAATCCCAGAGATAGGGAATACCGTGTATCGGCCTGTGTCGGTACAGCGCAGATTTGGAACCCACGGCTCCGGCACAATAAGATTTTTGTGTTGTGATTTTGTGGTCAGCGCCTTGAGGCGCTGTGGAACCATCATGGAGGCCAATGGGGATCACGTGAAGATTTCACACGCGAGGGGTCTTCGACCTCACCGGCCTGACATGGCAATTGATCCATCACCAAGGTTGCACCGGTGACTCTTACCCTTCCTTCTGACAGGATGTTCGCCACTGTAGCTAAAGCACGCGGCGAGTCTAGGGCAGCTGAGGCTTCTAAGCACAAACAGGCCAAGCAAAGACCAAAGCAACATAGTCTCCTCCCGAAGCGCCTCGAGTAGCTGGAGGTCCTTGGCCACACCAGTGTGGCACCCACACCAGTTTGCAGTGAAACTGACAACCAGTTGCTTTTCAATTTACATAACAATTAGAAATGCTGAAGGTTTGGTCCAAAGAACTGCTACCTGCTACCCACCTAGCCCAAGCGAGCCCAAGTGACTGGTACCACTGACGAGTTGGACGGCAGACTTGGCAGACTTGGGATCGGCATGGCATCCGCCCGGGCTGGTCAAGGCCTCTACTGTGTTAAATCGTTTCCTATACCTAGGAAAGCCCACTGAAATCCATGTTAGTTGAGGATTTCAAGGTTCAAACCTGCCATCTACTTTGAAGTTAATTACTTATTGCATTTGAGACTCCGCCTTCTCCCCATGAGCTGAGCTGTTTGGAGCTCCTTCTCCATGGTTCTCTTGTCACAGTTCCAACGCCAAACATCTTGCATTCTCGGTATTTCATCTGCCTGGACTCCTACGCTGGACCACTTCTGTTTGCAAAACTGCTTTCTGTGCACCAACCAACCAGCTGGAACAGAACGCAATTCTTTGACAACTCCTGCCCATTCTTGATGCGTGCTTGTCTCCAGCGAAGATCTGACCAACCGGATCCTCATCCGTTTGCCTTGCTCCCGTCCCACTTTACATCCCCAAAGCAAAATGGCGAAATCCTGTATGCGTGGCATTGGCTAAGCGGCTAAGCTCTCAGCCGTCACAACCCTTGAGCGGCAAAAAGAGGGTGAAGCTGCATCCTGCCTTCTGACTTATGAGTTGATGTGGTCCGATGAATGTTCCCGGACAGAGCTGCAGGCAAAAGGCACATGCAGGAGGAACTTCCGAATTCTGACCAGTTTCTTTCTCTGGCTGCTCTTCCCCAGTCAAGCCGATGAAATGTCACCCCCGGCCCACCCTGCCAGCTTGAATAAAAGACCCAATCTAACATGCGGGCCTCCGCATAGCTGCCACTCAGGGTACGGACATTCTCCTGGCACCCGAGGGGTGGGTTAAATGGAGGTCTGCAGAGTAGAAACAAGCTACGGTGGTGATTTGCCACTAGTTGCAGTAAGTAAGATCTGAGGGTTGGCTTTCCCAAGCAAGTGCCTGGCAGGAATGACACTTGAACTTTATTATATAGTTTATATATATATATATAATGATGTCAACCCTCTTTCCCGCTCCTTCCCTGTGACAGGCCCCTCTTGGGGATCAGAACGCCAACAAAACCAACATATTGAGCAGGGACTCGGGATGGGCTTCTAATAGGCCTTGGGCATGAGACCTGCGCGCGCTGGCAGAACACACCTGGCAGGTGTTCTCGATGTCCTTCTGGGCCTCGGGCTGGTCTCGTCGGTGGCACCGGCACCGGCCCATTAGTTCCCCGGATCCTCTGGTTGATCTGCAGTTGGATGACATAAACAGCTATGTAACTGTGTGACTTAGAAAACATTAGAAAGAAAGGCAATAGACAATGACAAATCCTGTGAGCGTTTGCTATCTTAGACCACATCCTCATCCAACTGCTTCTTGAAACGAATTGGTTCGCGCGTCTTTCCCCAAGTGCAGTCGAACCAGACATGTTCGGTTCGAAACGGAACCCTTCTGCTGGTCGACGAATCCGTCTTGGACACGAATCCTTGCCCACTTGTCTCCACTGGCAGTGCAGGACACCGTGCAACATCCCAAAAAGTTGAATGCATGAACGCTCCATGGCCACCAGGCGACTGAACACGAACGTGGAAAAGCTGAGGTACAGTCAACAAGGGCATCTATGAACTAGTTCCATGTGACCTCATGTGAGTGTGTGCTGTTTAAAAAAAACAAAACAGGTCTCCCCAACTCTCCACGAACGAAGGCCCAATGAACCCATCGGCTGTGTGGACCCCCCTGGACCCCACCTGGCTGCGCCAGGTGTCCGCTTGCGCATCCATGGTCTGAGCCGGTGCTTTTGGGTGGTTTTTCTAGATCGGTCAAACCCTGCTTTCTTTGGAGCACCGTGCGGGAGTGCCCTCCTGGCTTTCATGGAATGCTCATCGGGGATCCGCAATCAATCTACTGAAAAGGTGATCCTTCTCCCGGAGCGACAAGCAAGGTCACGTCGCCTGCAACGACCCGCGCGAGACGTGCACTTTCTTCCAAGGTCCACAGGTGCGACGGACGTTTCGCCAACCCTTACAGCATTTCGGCTGTCTGGCAGCTCAAGTGGCGTGCTCGTCCCAGTTGCAGTGGGATTGTCAGATGGGAAACGGGTTGCCGAACCGGGGAATCTTTCAACGAAAGGTGCTACCGGCCATGCGGGCGCCCAAGTTCGTTCAAAGTGGTCGCGCGTCTTCGCGCGCCACACCAAGTATTCCCTAATCTTGCTGTCGAGGCCAGCATTGGTCTGGGAAGCAAGTTCTTGGGGGATGTTCTTCTTCAGACTTTTGCCACTTGCGATCAAGGCATTGCGTGGGAAAATATGCACATGAATTCGGATGGCCACTTAACTGGAACTGGGGAGAAAGTTGTTGTTTTAAGCAAAAAACGCAAGATCACTAGGGTCGTTATAGCTGGCATGAGCCCCCTCAAAAAGATAAAGAACACACACGCTCGCGCGCACCTCTCAAATTCATCGGTCACAGGCTGGAGGATCTTGCCAGAACACTGACGACGAGACCGGCCCGTGGCATCGCGCTCCGTGTCTGTGACCACACCGAGTACCCCGAAATCCCACCTTGCACATCGTCTCAATCTCCCGTCTGACCTTCGACCAATGAAGCTGGAAAAAGAAAACAATAGAAGCATAAGGTAACCAAACAGGTGGAGAGGAACATGGCGCCCTGTTCTGTGGCCTTTCAAGGAGTCGAAATCCATGAGCACCTCGAATGACGCCTATCAAGTTATAGTGGATGCTGAGCAAGTGGCTGAGATGAACTGATTCTTGCAAAAGTCGGCATGATCACTCATCTCCTCAGGGCACCAAAGCAATCGGCCAAGGGGTTGGGGTAGAGGTTGAAATTGCTGAGGCCAGCAAACACCTGGAGAGGAAATTAACTCCAAATTTCCAAACATAGTTCAACAAACGCAAAGGCTGAGCCGGGGAGGAATCCACCAGAGTGTTTGGTCGGGAGCACCGTCCGCAGGTGCTGCCCAAAAGGAAACGAATCCGTCCCCTCAGTGATCAATCGATACCTTTTGTGGGAATCCTGTGGCACTTTGTGGCTTCATTCAGGGTCCCAACATGTCCTTCGGGAGGGTTAGTTTCCGTCCGTGCCTGCCGAAGCTCTTGCATCTTCTCCTGACACGGGAGGGTATTCATTCTCCAGAATGGCATGATGTCCAGAGCTTTTCACGAAGTGGGAAACCCATGAAACCTTGGGCCTTGGGAGGCCTATGAAGCTGCTTCTTTCGCTTCTTGGCGCACCCTGCCTCGCAAGCATTGACCATTTCGATGACCTTTGGGCCTCTGATAGTGCTTTTGGCTCTGAATGCTTCTGAGCACTGCCCGACTAAAACTGCCACAAAGAAACTGGCAGTATGCCCATGAAAGAGTTCATCGTCTGTTCAAAATGCTCTGGCTATGTGGCTATGCAGCTAGGCTGCTAACTCTTGAGCCCATCCATGGGTGTCAGGAGCGCCTGGCAAATCAAAAACCTCTCTAAATCTAAGCCCAGAAGACTCCAATCATTCGGTCTCCCGGCAGTGGAGTTCCTCCCTGCAGGCGGCTGGAGGTGTTTCAGAAGCTCAGCGGATTCGAGCAATGGCTATGCCATGCCAATCCCATGCCGCGGTACCAACTAAGAAAAGGAAGCTATTTGTTGTTTTGGCGGTGCTTTCTTTGCAAGGGACTGGCGGTGGTGGGATGGATGGCCCGGAAGCCCGGAAGTGACAAAGTATGACAAAGGTATGCCATGAAACCACGCTCTGGTTTTCCTTCACTCTCACTGTTCTAGCATCATCCAGGCAGCACTGTTCTCCCAAGTGCAACACACTCCCCAAACCCATCAGGCCACCTCGTTCTCACCAGGGCGGGCCCCTCTCTTTCTACAAGCCCGCTCACACTGACCACACGCACGGATCAAGCGCTCGCTGCCTCTGGTCAGAGGTGAGGTCGGCCTGCAAGCTCAGCCAGTCAAATGGATGGAATATGATGTGGCTGAATAGCACCGCCAGGAAAATCGTCGAAGAAGCAAGAATCAAAGATCCGCATCCTACGGGGGCACCTGCTGTCAGGGAGCGCAAGTTGAGGACTTCTTTCCGATTTGGTGTCGAATGAGGTCACTTGGAAATCCAACAGGGTTCCATCAAGTGACACTCGTGGGTATTTGGTCGCTAGGCTGCTTTCCAGCCCCATCTCTTGGTGGAAGACCTCTCAATCCTCCTGTGACCGGCGACATTTCTTCAGATCCCAGAAGCCCACACGCCGACCAGCACGGCCGTGGGAGGAAGGCCGTGGGAGTCACAGAAAACCGCGTCGTGAAGGAGACAGTTGGGCCATTGATCACTTCAAAGTGCATACATGAACCCCCCGCCCCTGGTTGGGCTTCAGAGGCGCCATTTTAGGAGACTCTCGCTGGCCCTTTTCGGTGCCCAATTATTAAAACTGGACGACCAATCAAGAAAAAACACATACACACGCACTTATAGAAATGCGTACTGATGTGAGTGCCGCTCGCCGCACGGCTACCTAAGGACACCAAGTCCTGAAAAAGCAAGAGGGGGGGCCTGGGCGGGTCGAAATGACGGCGGCCCAAGTCCTTTGTGGAAGATTGGAGTAACAGCTTGAGAACATCACACCAAAGCAGGTACAGGGAGGTGATCAGCCTTCCCTTCCCATCCATGACCGTAGCTTCGTTGCACATGGTAGGTCATGGATGCCGTGTGCCCCTGCTTGATAAAAACAAGGACAAAAACAAACCAATCCAAAAGGATCCCTGTGACTCCAAGGGTTACACACACACGTTTAGTGAATTAGCATGAATGTTTATATAGCAAGACTTAGAACCTGAAAGATGAAAACAAAATGATCGAAAACCACAACTTAGAATAACCAAACAGGACACTGCGAGTTCCCCCGAATAGTTCTAAGTTTCACTCATTTACAATAGAACATGCATGTTCTGGTTAAAATGCCAGAAACGGCAGTTCGCGTGCAGAGTTTGCCCGCCGGAGCAGTGGCCTTGTTGTCCACCGGAGGAGAAACGTGAACGTCCAAAGGATGCACGAGGAGACTTTGTTCATGATAAAACCTCCGTTTGTGTCTCGTGTTCCAATCTTGCATGGTTGGGCTGGCCCCACATCCCCCAAAAAATGTCCCGGTGAACAATGCTTCTTCAACACGGTTCTGGGTCACTTGACCATGAGCACCAGAGAGCAAGAGAGTCTTTCTAAATATGCTGCTCCGGAGAAGAAGGCGCCACAAGTGGTTTGGAACTGGTTTGGGGGAATGTTTGGGCTACTTAAGGTTTCTGACTCCGAAGGTCAACCCCCAACCCACGCCTTTGCTTCGATCGCCTGGCCGCTTTGGATCGCCTCAAGCGGCGCGCGTTCGCGACGCGGCGCGCGTGGGCTAGGCATCCATCGCAGGCGGCACCCAAGAGGTGTATATATATATATGTTACAAGAATATAAAAAGCAACACCATAAGCAGCACGATTTTAGGACCATGGAAGCTCAGAAGCTCGGGCGAACAAGGGGCAAGGGATTGTCAAGGGAAGGGATTGATGCATCCAGCACCGGATTGGCAAAAACTGGAAAGTGTGTACATCAGTAGGCCTACCAGCTGTACCTATGCAGCTGGGGGGGTTGTTCCATGTCACAAAAAGGCACGGACAACGGGTTTAAGATGGCAGCATGGGGAACCAACAAATCCATGATGTAATGATTTGTAGGGGGCTTCGGCTCGGATAGAGACTTCCCGACTGGACCAAAGGCCCACGACAAACTATAGTGATCCCGGATCCCCAAATAGATAGCGGCACGGTTTCCAATACATGTTCAGTGGGGATCTACTGTTCTATCTGTTTGATTCTATTTGGGGCCTACATGCTACGGTCAAAGCAGGGCAACGCACCCGAATGCCTTCTTTTATGGCCTGGATTGCAGCTGGTACGGCCCAGGGCGTCACAGCTGGAACGGCTCAAGCAGAACCGCAGGAGCTCCCACAACGGGCTGACCCTCAAACGATGTGTGCTGCTTGTTGTTGGTGAAAAAGCGCCCGGGATCACATAGGATGAGGGAACTGGATGAGTTGGAGAATTCGCCTGATATAAACATGTCGAAGGGGCAGTGTTGCTGCTGTTGCGTACACTTTTCACCCAGCCGTCCAGCACCAAAACATTGACATGAGTAGGAAGCCGGATGGTGCTTCGCCATGCGTGGCCTCATTGCCGAGTTGCTGCCTGCTGAGGGCCTTCCCCGACATCGGAGCGCCCGCGGATCGCGGGTCGCATCGCACTCGGTATTCGCAGCTGGAAAAGGGCCCTGCTGCACGCCCGTGGGTCTCGCTCACAGGCCAAGATCCACGACACGAGGCGCGTCAACAAGGCCAATGAGGTCCTCCTTGCCTACACTCAAGTAGCCGTAGCCCCCACCTAGTAGTTATATAAGGGAAAGTATGGAAAAGTCATCTTCCAAACCTATGTTTGTTTGGAACCTACATACTTTCAGTACCCCCGTGTGCAGATCTTCAAGTTCCAATTGCACGAAAGGCTAGAAGTCCAAGAAGCACATACTCGGCCAAAGCCATGCACAGCTGGAGGGGGAGTCGACAATCTATCCCAAATGAGAACTTGGAACATGTCCAATCTGTGACATGTGTCAGTAGTTGGTGCATTTACAGTATATAGTATTGATCCATCTTGTATCTAACAGAGGACTACCACACCTCGTGGCGCATGTCGGTGAGCGCGGGTCGGGCATGCACCTCCTTTTCCAGATCATCCAACCATCGATCCGACGGGCTGGCGAGCCAAGAATGGGCCATTGGGGACCATGAAATGATTTCAATGTATATAGTGTGTATATATATATATGCCTATTGATATGTGCAGTAATGTGCGCCAAGCAACAACATCAACAACACCAATAACAGCAATAAATATACATATAGACAGTAGGCAGAAAGATCTGCATACATCGTAGCATAATGTCCTGCACATGTCTTGCATAGAAAATATCCTATGAGCCTATGATCATCTATGAGCATATAAGGGGTGCAGAGGTCCGGACTGGTGAATCAAGCTTCAGAAATTGATGAATTGTCGCGCCTGGATGATCCGTCTGCTGATTCTGTCCGCGTCTGGTGCGCGATCCGTACCAAGTCCGGCGATATTCTCTCTGATCTTGAAGGCCTTGTTGGCCTAACCAGGACAATTGGGCCCCGGTTCAGCCGACCAATTTGGAATCCTTGATGCCCTCATTGAACTGATATCATCCTGGAAAACGCTGCAGCACCCGAACGGTCAAGCGCATGGACCGGATTGAAGGCATCTGAGAAGGGTCGACAGCATCGAGGGCTCTGCCCATCGATTCTTGATCCCGGGAGCGAGCTTCCTGGAGGATATGTCTTCATAGATATACTTACTCGACAGTTCGACAGACCTACAGAGGTTAAGTGACCTTATAGGTTAGTGTATAGGGTTCTTCAACCTCTGCTGGGACCTGGGATAGACCACAGGGAGGTCACAGCTGCTGGCCCTGGACATCAAACAACGCTGAGGCTCGGTCCACTAACGGGTCCAGCTCCGCCTCCGTCCGGCTCCGCCAAGGCTGGGCGGGCTCGAGCCCGGAGCCCTTCCGAGCGGCGGAAAATAGGGGGACCCGAGAGAAGCGGTGCAGAGAGGAGGGCAGACAGTACTATTGATGCTCCCACCTTGAATTCCGGCAAAAGAGCACTCCTGCTTAGCAAATCGAGGAGTTTGCATGAATTAGATTCTTCAGGCTCGGGGTATTATCGAGCCCGAAGGGCGAGAAGGGCGACCAAAAGCGCAAAGCTCTCACCAGTCGATGCTCAAATTCACCTCGCTCCATCCCGCCCCCTCGCTCTCTCCCTCACACACATGTTCTTGCAAAATTAATCACAAGGGTAGGAGAGGTGTTTAGACTTCCAAAACTCAATCTGGCCAAGCGGCGAAAGACGGCGCAAACGCAAAGACGAAAGAAGCTCTGCGTTGGAAAAATGTATATCTGTATCAAACCGTGAAGATTATCATGAAAAGGGTTGCGCCCCCAATACTAGCTTACATACAGTAGCCAGCTTCAGGTCCAGTGCTTTCAGAAATCGGGCCCGGACTGGAGCAGACTCTGCCCTGGGACGCTATGCCTGGAGGAGGTGAGCAGGTTAAGCATTTTAAGCCTTTTTCAGGGTGCCCCTTTTTGTCCAAGATGGCAAGGCATGGCAAGGCCATAATATATGTTCAGGTCCAGTAGCTTCGTGTCTACATCAACTCGCGTTGGCAGATCAAATCCCAAGTCAATCCTTCCTCAACTGATGTCGCCATGGCTGTAAACTGGCTACCAGGAAAAAGTTGATGAAAAAGGGACCCCCAAAACGACCCGTCGCTTCCTGTGTCTGTTTGCAAGGAGTCTCTTTCAAGCGGGATTGATCTGCCTAGGCCCAAAGTGCCAGCGTGCCCATGGCCGCAAAGCCCGCTGTGCACACCTGGACTCACCGAAGTATGGCTGCCGGGGCTACCAAGGGGAAAGACTCGAAAGAAAAGAGTTGCCATTGTGTTTTCAAGATAACTCACCTCAACCCATTTGCTATCATTTGCCATGGCACCCCCATTTGCGCCGCACGGCCAAGCATGCTGGGAAGCCAAGGCTTTCGGACACCGGGCATCGTCTCCACTAAGCCTCAAGGCTCGTCGGGTTGCCCAGGGATTGATGGTTTCTGAGGAGCTCTAGCGAAAATGAGAGGGATGTCACGGGATGTCCCAATTGATTCGCCTGCCCATCTGACGGTCCAGCTGTCTTGATTGATTCTCGGCAGGATCTAGGTCTGTCTAAAACCAATCAGTCAGGTCTCCAAATAGCGCTTAACACGCGCAAAGCTGAAAGCTGAGCCAGGGAGAAAACGCGGTCAGTGGTGGGTCCCTGCCTATGTAGAGGAAGGTGCCAGCAGAGAGTGACAAAAGAATGCTCCTAGGCTGACACCAGAGAGCAGTGCTGAACTCTGCATTGGAACACTACCCCGCCACAAAATTCCACAATTGTCTGTGTCTAAATGGCCCAAGTCACAATTCACTCGGATTTCCTGCAGATTTGGAAAAATGATGCTCCTAGGAAGAATCTGCTTCGCTGTTTTGCAGTTGCCAATGAGTAAAAAATGCCCTACCCTACTGAGGTAGACGGGACCCGACGAAAACGAGCAGAATGGACTGTGACTATCAGTGCCTCACCACCGATGACCCTCAATGCCAAAGCCATTTGCTTGCCACGGCTCGCTGCGACACTGCCCTCGGCAGTTGTGCCAACCAGCACCCCCACAGGAGACACGAGTGAGAAAACGAGCATTGCGAGGGCATACCAGCCTGAGCGGGCCGGTTATGTATGTTATGGCACGGTTTCGCACCACGTTTCACCACATCAACCACCAAACCATGTGACTGGCACCTCTGCTCTTCATCGGCAGCATGCAAAGTCTGCCGTGTGACTGCTTCATATGGGGCATGTGAATTGCAGCCATCCTCTGAATCAGCTCTTAAGGAGGTCTAGTCAAGTTCGTCCTGGGAGGCTGGTCAATCAATTTACCTGAGTATGCCCACATCTCACATAACATACACAGCTCGCATGTCTTTAATGGTCTGCAAACGTTGAGCAAACGGTGAGCGGCCAAGGCTGAAATATGTACGCCATGCCTGATGACCGTGGATTTACATCAAAACCATCCGAATGAGTCACACCGCTAACACCAACCCCACCGGCATCACCACCTGAAAATTAAAATAAGCGCCCAGAGCACCTGCATCACCCCGGATCGCGCCAAGTGACCGAGGCTACCCCAGTTGATGCCCAAGGTGAAGGCCGCCATACCCTGACATGTCGGAGAGGACTGGACCTCTCTGCATCTTCGATTGTCACACTCAGCTCCACGAGACGGAGAAGAAAAAAACAGGACGAGCGAAACGCCAAACCTCACAGAGATGAGTTGCTGCCGAAGTGAACTTCTGAACCACCCAGAGCAGGAATCCGCAGTGCCCCGAAATGGGTGTTGTAGTTAGTGAATATGGGCGAGGCCCAAAAAGCACCTGTGTTGCCCCTCTTTTCCCCGTCCTTGTGCGCGATGATGGGAAGGAAAATGTCCATAGTTCTGTCGGCCTGAGGCGCTCCAAAAGCCACAAGGGAACTTGAGAACTACTCTACCTGGCTAACAGTTAACACGAACCCCTAAGCCGCTGATGTGTGTTTATGCCGGTTCTACCTGGCTATTTTTAATCAAATCTTCAAAACCCAGCGGATTTGCGCATGTGTTTTTTTCCAATATCTCTTCCTCTTGGGCTGTTTCCTTGCTGTTTGTTCTGTCCTTTTCCACCTGCTTCTCCTTTTGGCGCCATTTAATGGATGGTTGTGTAGTCACCCACCCCCTCAAATAATTTCATTATAGAGGTTGTATGAGGTTGTACTCTGTCCTTTTCCACCTATTTTCCTCTTGTTGATACCCATTTAATGGGTGGTTGTGTAGTCACCCACCCTCTCAAATAATGTAGTTATATTATATAGATTTGGTGGCCATGTTCCTTTTCTTCCACCTTTCGCCCTGTTTCCAACTATTTGTACATGTTTTGTGCAAATCTCTTCTCCTTTTCCACCATTTCCTCCTAGCCTATTGAGATGGCAGGTGTCCTCGACTCGCAAACATTCTCAGCCTGTGGACTTTGCCTCGATGCCTTCCAAAGCATTGGACCAAGTGTGCCTCGCCATTTTTATCAAACAGCTTTCTTTCTTTCTAGCTTTGACCCTCATGGTTCAAGCAGTACCTGGACTATTAAAACACTACAAAGGTTGAGGTTGAAACCAAGTTGGGCGTCAGGCCAACCACACTTTGGCTGACAGTAAATTGGGCTACACAGAGTTCAAGAAAAGCTGGAGTTCGTCACACTTCAACGTATTCAATATATTTTCACTATATAGGTCCTCATATACTCAAAGTTATTTAGAAAAATATATGTCGTATGAAATTTATTTTGCACCGCCTCGACTGTTTTAGTTGAAAATAGTTTTCAACCACCACCTACTTGGCTTGCCAAATAAAACTTTGTGTTGTATGTATATATATATATAGTTATTTTGCAACACTTATTTCACTAAGTCACTCCCACCTCCAAATAATTTCTGGTACATTGAAGTAGGTACAGTAATCAGAAACGATGTCTCCTTCTCTTCACATTTGGGGTCTTGCTGTTAGGTGTGTTGCCGGTGTTGCCCCCAATAATTTGAGATCCCCACTTGCTCCGTCACCGAGAAGGAAAAAAAATGGCGCCGCTGGTCCTTCCTTTGTCCTTTGTCCTTCCTTTCGCTCCGCTGGTCCCCGTCTGTCACAGCACAACCGCTCTCTGTCGTCGGGCGATGTCCAGCGCATCCCATGAGTTTGCGTCCAAATGTTTCTGCCGGTGTTCGGTAGACAGTGAGAGTTGAAACACAACCCAACTCAACTTGCAACATGCTAGCACTTCATGCAATCTATTTCTACCAACGTGCGAGGAGGCAGAAAGGCTTATGACATATGCGAGCAGAGAGGGGCACTGTGAGATCGTGTTTGCATGTCTTTGGTGAAGAAGTGTTCCGAGTTCTGACCACTGGTTCCAGGTGCCGACTTGAATTCACACCGTCCAAGCACACCTGCCGGAAAGTTCCATGGGTTTTGAAAGCAGTTTCTAACAAAAACTGCCAAACAACTACTAACACAGGACGTCACCGGTTGCTATGTTTGGTGTCAATTCTGTTCCCGTTCGCCCTTCCCTAACGGTGCCTGCGACGCTCCTAGGCTCGTCCCCTGGCGGGGGAGATACAAAGCTGGCTACTGGTGGTGCCCCTCGTGAGCCCGGAGGCCCGCGCTGGAGCGCGGCAACCTGTCCAGCCTTCATGCCACCTAGGCCGCCTAGGCCCTTATATAAGTTGCGAGCAGCCAAACAACACAGAAGAAACTCCCATGGCACCGCCCAAGCCCAAAGGCAAAAAGAGGCACATAGCGGCACAACTCCATGAACAATGGATGGTGCAAACCTCAAAGCTCTTGCTGAAAACAAGTTTCGATCATTCAATCTCACATGCTGGAGATTCCACTTCTCCTGCCAGGTGCTACATGAAACCGGCTCATTTGGTCACCACTTCGCGTCGACGGTAGGCCGCCTCCATGAGGGAATGGAAAGTGAGCGCCAGCAACAGCAGCGGACCCGCACAGTTGAGACGCACCTGCCAGCCACACGCCACTTCAGGGAACGAAACGTGAGCGCCGGGGTATTGTTGTTGGGTGAAAGCGTTCAAAAACACAGAAGAAATGGATGTGGTGGTGGTGTGCCATATGATGTGATGTGGGGGGGAAATATAAGTGGCATGCTTGCAATGACAAATGGTCCAAGCTGTTGAAAGGACCTGTTAGCTTACCTTTCATAGACCTGTACAATAAGGAGACACTAAAAACACTAAAGAGATGATTCTACGGTATAGCGTATAGCACTTGCCATCTCCCGGCATATTGCAAAGTTCATTGCAATGACTCAATTTTTCGACCCCCTTCAATTCGTACATTTTTCAGGGGCCAACTTATATCCAATGCCTGAAATGTTGTCTTTCCCATTTTTTGTCATTAATCCATTGCGTGGTACTTGTCATCTGTACGTCATGCATGTTGAAATGTTATTGTAACCGCTCTATTTTCGGATCCCTTGAAATTGTATATTTGTCAGGAGCCCAACATAAATCCAACAAGGCCTTGTTACAGTATATCGACCATGCATGTTGCAGACTTTATTGTAATCATTCCTTTTTCGACCCAGAGGTGAAAAGAAAGTACCACGCAGTGGGTGAATACATGACATAAATGGGAAACAAAAAAATTGTAGACATTGTTGGATGTAAGTTGGACCCCGTGAAACATGCACAATTGCAAGGGTGTGCGAAAAACAGCGTGACTCCAAGAAACTGTCCCATATGCATGACGACCTAGAGATGACAAGCACCATGTGGTGGATGAATGAAAGAATTGCAGTATATAAAGAAACATGTATGTATTATTGGAGATTAGTTGGTGTGATTACTGTACAACAAAATTTGGGTTACGCATCATCTAGGGTGTTGGCTTGGACATGAATTACATTTCCTTGCGCTTCTCTCTCTCTCTCTCGAAGCAAACGGTGCAGGCGGTTGTCGACGCGAAGCGGCTTGAATACATATTGCTATTTGGGTCTGTGCTTGCATAGTTGCAGTGAATCTGAGTACTTGGGGGTGGGTTACGGTTGTTGATGTTGTTTGGTAGTCTTGGGGTCTTTGGCTCCAGCTCAAAGGCTTGGCAAGATCTTTTGACAAGAACTAAGGCTTGGCGGGTTGGGACTTTGGTCAGTAATCTGGCTTGTGGCTCAATGCTTCCCCACTGGCTGCATCCCTGTTCACCTCTTGCGTCACCTGGGGTGGTGCCTTCATATCAACTCTCTGCATGACAATGAGTCTAATCTTGGGTTTGATCAACTGTCAGTGAGACGAGCACCACCCCAGACTTTAAAAAATAATTGATATTATACATATATAAACCCAAGTCAGTTCATGAATATTCATGTCATTGACTGGCACTCCAAAGGCCTTGCCTCAGTCCCTAACCCAATCCGCGGTGGCCTCAGTCTGTTGAAAGGGGAGCTGCCGCCCGATCGGCTGCTGCTCCTGGTTTTGCTCCTGCGGTTCATTGGCCAAAGAGGTTCAGCTCCATATTGGTCAAAACTGGTCCAACGGACGGGGGAGATATTCACAACAAGTGGAGATGTTCGCCGAATTTGGAGTTGTGGCAATCGGGTGCCCATATGTACTGTATATATAATATACTGTGTATACATATATATATATGTATGTATACCCATATCCATCTTTGCAGCACTTGTTGCCCACGCCCCAAGCACTTTGACCTGCCTGAGTCACAAATGCCAGCGTCTTCAATCAAAGCAATCTCTACGCCGATGGATTGACGACCCTTTGGGGGGCAACACAGCCAACATCGGAGCTTGTCTCAGCCGTGTCCTTGTCGGAGTTCGAGTTGGTCGATGCCACCGATGGCATGGGGGCCTTGTGCCCAACCACCTGACAGAGGAGGACTTGTTGGTGGAGGGACTATAGTTGACTATAGCGACTGGGCAATTGAAAGCACAAAGTAGTCAAAAAGAAAAAGGCACCCTGGCCGCGGCCCCACTCCCAAAACCAAGCCCTTCCAGCAAGTGTCATGTGTCGTTTCGGTCTGAGGACCCATGGCCTGGCCACTGATGGCGGGAGACCGGTCGGCCATCCGCTCCATCAGAGGTTCTGCTATGCCTTCCACCTTGGGCAGCGCTCGAGCCGTCCGAAGCGAGGCAGAGGCAGGGCGTAGAAGAAAAGGATCGGCCGAGAGGCAAAGTGAGTCATCAAAGCACCAAGGCCGCAAAGGAGGGGTGCCAAGGGGAAAGGCCTCGGCGACAGCTGCGTCTCTGAGACGCCATGCTGGTTGCAAGAGAGCTGAAGAGAAAGAATCAAAGACAAGGACATAGAGCTGCACATGATCGCATGGTTGAAAGTGCGCATGTTGTGGAAGCTCAAAATAAAGGTTGACTGCCGCAGAATCTTCTTCCAATTCCCCATGCTACACCAAATGCCACAAGATCCGGGCCAGATTCTAAGATTGAGAACGTTATATAGATTTTTAATTGCATTGTTGATGTTTTTTGGTGGCAAGCTCCACCCCGCGAGGCCACCCTTTACACAAGTCTGCTGAGGTCAGGAGAGCAGTTTGAATATGTGGCGTTTGCCAGAATGGCTGTCAGCAGTTGGTACACATCCAGGGCCCCAGGCTCTCCCTCGCCATTCTTGGGCATCATTACCTCGTCCTGGACAGCAATCAAACAAATGCAAGGGGGGAAGAAAGTTTGTACAAATGTTGGGTCCCTGTTCCATACGTATTGATATGGAAGGTACCCGGCATCGTTCCCCCAGTCGATGGATCACATCTGTTATCGCCCGGCTTGCTGTGGGAAGTCCTGTGCAAAACTTGAACGTGTTGGTTGTTCGTGCTTCCGAGTGGTGTTGGATTTTGTCCTGCAATTCTTCAGGATATCCAAACCTGTGGGGGTACCCACAAAAAGTCAACGGGTGTTCCTTGGTGGCCCTTGCTTGCAAGCAGGATGAAAAATCATAAGCAGCACAATGACAGCATGGAAGTGGAACCGGCATCGAAAGGTGCAGAAATGGGCACATGGTCGGTTCTGCCTATTTGTGAGGACACCCCAGCCAGACTCAAAGGATGAGGCTCAGGTTTGGTCTTGCTCAGCTCAATGCTTTGAGACATGAACAGCGATCAATCAAGTACTGTATGTAGTTACGCACCGTACTAATACTGTACAGTAACCTTTTCCGCGCCCAAACTTGTGCTTCCCCTGGTAAACCCCACAACGACGATCACGCGGCTCTTGCCATGCACGACCGATGCCCACTCCAGGGTGCCAATGTTGTCAGCAAGCCTTGGGTCATTGAGACCGTGTGGATTGATGCGCCTGCGGGCATATCATCCAACTTTGGGTGAACGAAAGGTAACGTGTATATAATACTATACAGTAGCTAGTAGGGTCCAGCAGGTTCGGAGGGGGTGTGATGGCAACTGTTCGGATCGAAGCTGAGCGCACCTGGTGAAATGCAGAAGGTGCATGAGGATGAGGGGAATTTGACCCGCCAATGATGAAAAATCCGTTCTTAGAGCCTTTGATTGCAATATAGCAAGGAGAACTCAGGTAACTGAGGCTATCTTTCGTGAATTGGTACGATGCAACCACCACTCCAAATCAGCCATTTTTATGGCTCTCTCTCTCTCTCTCTCTGGCGGGATGACTCGAGGGCCCCCTTATATATACAGTATATATATATACATACATACATACATACATACATACATATATATATATATGGGTTTGTATTTTTTTAAGGTTCCCGGGCCGGGATGTTTGACTATGGGGTATGCTTCGGAGGTATGCTTCGGGGGTATGCTTCGGGGTATGCTTCGCGCAGTGTGAAGACTAAAGTAGTAGCATTTCGAGAGGGTATGCTTCAGGGTATGCTTCGGGGTATGCTTCGCCTAAGTCGAACATCCCAGCCCTACATAAACTGGACACCTTAAAAAAAGACAAGCCCATATCTGTGTGTGTGTGTGATCAGGAGGCGAAGGCTACCTAAGCAGGCACCATACTCTCCCAACTACGTCGGTCTTGTGCCAGGTGTTTCCAGTGGCAGTGGTAGAGCGCGGGCAGACATGTCTAAAAACCGGTCGCCAGTAGCGGGAAGCATCCAGGATGTTGGACTTGGTGCCTTGCGGAATGCTGCCATTCTAAGTCGAGGGTCTGTAGGACATTTGTAGCCTTGTTACGTCTTGCATCTGCTGGCTATGGTGTCCACTCTTTGAGGTCCCGCTTTGTCCAGCCCCTGCCAGCCCATTCAACCGCCGATGAGAAACAAATGAACCAAGGCAGCATTGAGAAGGCCACCAGCTACGAAGGCCTCGGCCAAGGCCATCAGCCTCCCACCTGCGGCAGAACGAAGAGGCGAGGCCGGCGACTATGGAAGGCGAGGCGATTCGCCCATGTGGTCACCATTGGTGGGGGCCATGTTTGCACTGCATACATCGGCATGTATTATATATATGATATATCATGAACATCATTTCTGCCAGTCCATTTCTGCCAGTCCGAACTGTTCAAACCACGAACATGAGCAGTCGACACAATGTTGCTGCATAGATCACGGATTTAACTGTGACTGAACCAAATTTGAGCATTGGCGCCTTTCCGCTCAGCCAGCTTGGCCGCCAGCGCGCCCAGCGCGGCCACAATGAAGATCGCCAGTGCGAAGATCCACTTGGGCATCATAGCGAAGCAGCGAAGTGGCAAGGGCAAAAAGAATGCGTTCGCAAAGAGATGCCTCTTTGAACGGGGACCTTGCATGTGCGTGCCTTGGCAGGAGTTTTGGGGCTTAGTGCATATCTAGATGACAGCCGTGGTTCGCCGGGCTTTCTTCGACATAAACGCAGCGGCGGCGACTTTCTTGCGAAAGACTGCAGGTAAGTGGTAAGCGTCTTCTATGTGGCAATTGTTGAGTTGAGTGTGCCAGGCCCATCAGCATGTCGCAAGCTCCAGTCTTGAACTGGAGCCCCCGAAGCAGGCTGCCCGGCGAGCGGATGTCTTTCTTGCGCCTGACAGGCCGGAGATGGATCAACGGCACTGCGCCCTAGGGCAAGAGAACCTCAGGCCAAGCCAGCTCAAATCCTACTGAGCCGAACTACGCCAAGTTGGAACCAAACACCAGGTGCAAACACCTGTGCTGATACACCACTCCTCATTCTTATTTACAACAACAACACGTCCTTGATCGTCTTGGGTTTTCTGAGGGGAGCGTGCCGAGGAACAACAAAATTAAATTGGTTCTTCAAACCCTTCATGGCCCTGCACTTTAACAACCCAAAAGGAATATTGACACCCTGGCTGAAAGGTGAAAGAAAAAGGAAGAAAAAGAAGAAGAAGAAGAAGGAAAAAAGAGGAAAGGAGCAAGAAGTTGAAGGAAGATTTCTTTCTTTCTTTTCTTCTGTCTCTCTTTCTATAAGGCCTTTTGACCCTAGTTGGTCTTTCTGATTGTTTACTCTCTTTACTTCGTTCTTTCTTTCTTTCTGCCTTTCTTGTCTTTCTGTCTGTCCTTTTTTCCTTTCTTGTCTTTCTTTCTGCCTTTCTTTCCCAAAAGGAAGTGGGACAAAGGAATAAGTGCCGGTGCATCTTCGGTTGAACACCTGGGACTCCGCCCAAACAGCCCAGGGGCCCAATGCCTAGAACGCCACAGGTATGTCGTTTCCAAACCCGCGATCCTTCCGCAGGGCTGACTCGATGCGTGCCTGCCAATCGTGCATTCTGGCAGGGCCAAAGCAAACCATTCCATTAAACAGGTGCTTCGTGCATTACCAAGCTGAAGAGAGTTCAGGAAGGAACCACTTTTTGAATCAAGCTGGCTCCTCCAAGCATGGCCAAGGTGTGATTGGAGACACCCTATAGCCCCGGACTTCTGCGTCCCACGGCCAACATGGGGGCCAATGATGCCAATGGAGAATCTACCCGAGTTGTGCTGCACGAAACCTGTCGACCAGCCGTCCAGGCCCCCGACCGGCAGCTCTTCCTCAAAGGCCTAGCAGGGCACCAGGCTGGCTTGCAGGTCACGACAGGCACTCCAACATGACAGCAACTTGAGAAGGATGATCGGCATTTGGCGGCCTGTATGTGGTTTCCCCCATTTGATCTAGAGGCAAGAGCCATGGATAGTCAAATTGGTGCAGAACTACCCTTTCACTTCACTTACGGAAGTGGAATGTAAGGTCACCCGGACGTGAACACCCCCCCCACAAAGAGAAGTATTCCGGATGTTTATTCGCAGAATGACTGAAATGGCAATGATGCTTAAGAGATCTTAAGAGCCTGATGAACGCAGCGGCTCCATTTCAAAATTGGTGCAAAAACACCACAACTAAGTGACTAAGTGGGTGCCTGGCTGGCCCCATGGTCATGGACTCGGGGTCGTGTAAACGGAGGCTTGGAGTCCGGAATTGCTCCCAAATGTATATAAGTATGAAATAATTATTGAAATAGCTTGTCAGCGATTGGTGGTGGGACATCAATCTGAGCTCGTGTCGCCTCCTTGTCTCATTGTGCCTCCTTTGGACGGACAAGGTGTTCAAACTGCCCATTCTCCTGTTTGGTACATGCTCATGTTGTTGAGACCTTTGGGAAGTGCCCGAGTTCCCCACTCGCCTTTCGTGCCTTTTGTTCAGAATGAAGCTTTTCAATTAGCTCCTGGCCAAGGAGCTCCAATCCGCGCATGAAGTGGACTCCCTGACCAACTCACGGACCCAACCCCCCTTCCCAAAAGCAATCGGATTGCACGTTGCCACTTCCAATGTCCGGAATGTGTCCTGACAGCCAATCTGCACAGCTGCCAGATTCCAAAGTCTATCTGTCTCTCTCTCTTTCTTTGGGGTGGAGCCCTGCGACTGCTGTCCTCCAGCTGCCTTTCCAAAGCCTCGTCAAAAACGAATCGCGTCAAAGGGTCCAATTCAACTCCGGCTCCGTGGGGTGCAGCACTCAAGCAGGCCTTTCAAACAGTACTGTAACTGAAGTGACACTCAGTCTGTATGCATGTATGTACTTTCTCTCTCTCTCTCTCTCTCTGGCGAGTCTGGCTGTCAATCAGCCGTCCCACACGGACACTCGGCTGGTGAAAACAGAAATGTGTGTACATGTGTATGAGTATGTGTATATATATATATACGCACATAGGTGTGTGTGTGTGTAACCCTTGGAGTCATAGGGATGCTTTTGCATTCATTTTTGTTTTATCGCAGGGGGATGCCGGGGATTTCCATGGTCGGCATCCAACGAAGACACCATGGATTTCCTGTGATATGAGTCAGGGACGCCTGACTCACGTACCTGCTTTTTCCTTGTACTGAATGGCATGAGGCTAAGCCCAGGACCTCAATAGCTGCAGACATGCACGGAACGCCGTCAACCTGTCGCCTCGTCGGTTCGTGGCCTTTAACTACAGGAACTCTGGCCCCCTTCACCTGGCTTTTCAGGATTTGGGTCTCTTAGGCCGGCGTGTGGCACCGCAATCAAGTCAGTACGCATATCCATGAGTGTGTTTGGCTTCGTGCCAACCCGGGATGAGCCCGCAGAGTGCCTCCCGTGGACCCGTCGAACGGGTGTACGTCGAACGTATCCACTGCCCGGATACAGAGCAGCTCGCAGCGAGCGTAGGTGGCCTAGGCCGTACGTACGATGATTTTGTCCCATCTTTGGAATTCCAAGTTGGCTCATGCCTTTACGTGACCGCAGCGGTCAAAGCAGCCAGCCGCTTCGGCAGGGCACAAGGTGACCACAGCGGTCAAAGCAAGTTTAAGGTCCATTGGGACCTGTGGAGAACTTAGCCCCCTTCTCCCCTGCCCTCCCCCTTTCTTTCCTTGCTTTATGGGGTTTTCCTGAATGTAATACTCAGGATCTCCCCTTTCCTTCTTTGGTGTGTCCCTGGACGATTCTTCGTAGCTGGGAACACCTTCCTTTCTCTCCTCTCCCTTTCTCTCCCTCTCTCTTTCTTTCTTTCTCTTTTCCCTCTCCACCTTCCTTCCTCCTTGGGTGTCCCTGGATGCTTTTGTCATAGCTGGGAACCCTTCTCCGCTCTTCTTTTGGTGTGTCCTTGGACGCTCGCGTCGTAGCTGGGAACACCTTCCTTCCTTCTCTTTCCTTTTTCTCGTCTCTCCCCACCCTTCCCTCCTGTCTGGACCTTAGCTTGGGTTGCTACTAGGGGCTCTTGGCCTTCCTACTAGGTCGCTACTTGACGCTACTTGAGGTTCCTGGCCTTGCTACTACTTTGTACCCTTTGGCGCGGAGCTTAGAATCTTGCCTCCCTTCGGGGAGGCGTGTGTGTGTAACCCTTGGAGTCATAGGGATGCTTTTGCATTCATTTTTGTTTTATCGCAGGGGGATGCCGGGGATTTCCATGGTCGGCATCCAACGAAGACACCATGGATTTCCTGTGGTATGAGTCAGGGACGCCTGACTCACGTACCTGCTTTTTCCTTGTACTGAATGGCATGAGGCTAAGCCCAGGACCTCAATAGCTGCAGACATGCACGGAACGCCGTCAACCTGTCGCCTCGTCGGTTCGTGGCCTTTAACTACAGGAACTCTGGTCCCCTTCACCTGGTTTTTCAGGATTTGGGTCTCTTAGGCCGGCGTGTGGCACCGCAATCAAGTCAGTACGCATATCCATGAGTGTGTGCATGTAGAGAGAGAGAGAGAAAGAGAGTTAGCAAATGTAAAAGCACATGCTATATCAACATCCTGCTGTATGGCAGCCATGAATTATCTGAGCAACCCCGAGATAATCTCCTTCCCGAGAGAGATACTGTAGAACAGTGATTTCCCTGGGGGCAGGGTGCCTACGTCAAGGTTGCAGCAACTTGAAAAGCTGGTTGTCATATATAGAAAAAGATGTCAACCTTTCTTAGAAATCAGATCGATGATCCAAGTGTGTTGTTCATATCACCTGGTGATTGTCGATTGTCATTTTGATATGATATGATCCAGTTCCAGTGCTCACTGTTGAACATTTGTTGTGTTGTTCATCTCATGCATGAGGAGAGGGCTGGAGATCTTGACCTGTGCACCTGTTGATGTCCTTGGGTGATCAAATCCGAAAATGCGCAGCGCTGCAAGAAATACTTGGAACATCTTTGAACCACCGCCGGTCAACCTGAGGTTGTTTACCTTCCCAGAATTCCACAGCCTGCAGCCGCGCCGAGCTTGAGCTCGAGGTGCGGGTGCCGATGTCCACAGTGTCCTGGTGTGAACACTCTCAAGCGGCAGGCCTAACGCATCGATGTGGCATGTTTTCATGGCGTTCTTGTTCTCCTGAAATCGTCCAACATCCACTCCCTCTCTCCCTCTCTAGCCGGTTGCCCTCTCTCTCTCTCCCCTTTCCCCCTCTCCCACCCAACCAACCTTAGAGGTGGCCTACCTGCCCTTTCTCAATTATCCCCCACAGTCACCGCCCAACCTTTGGAGCTGGAGCCACAGCAGCAGCTGGCAGGGCAGCCTGTCCAGGGGCTGCCCAGTGGATGTTTGATGGTTTAGACTTCCTCGAAGTTGCGGACGTCATCAACTCCCAAAAGTCTTCCTTCCAAGCCTCCTATGGCCTCTTGGGAAATGCCATGATTGGTTGGTTGGAGGAGTGCGACTCCCTAAAGATTGACATGGAACCGAAAGGTCACCGCGCAAGGTCGACAAAAGGCCACTCCTTCCGATTCTAGCTTCTATGGGCAACCGAGGCCTGGTCGTTCGATGCCTCCCTCCATCCGCAACTACCACCACGTTTTAAAAAGAGACAAAGAATCCATGTATATATATATAACTATATATATGACTTTTGCACAAACTGAATACATCCCCCCCATCTCTCTACCTCTCTCTTCTCCAGGTCTCCATGAGATTGGTATGGAGGGTTTGACTTTGTGTGACCTTGGGGAGTCAGAGAGTCCAGTTGTCGATGAATCGAAGACATCGGAAAAGCGTTGAAAGGGATCCTCTCGGTCTCCGTGCACGCCGCACTTGACGGGCGGCCGCACTTGACGGGATCCGCACGCGGCATCTGACGTCCAAAATCTCTGCACCGTTGGACATACCCCAATTGTCCTCAACCACCGCTCAGCCTTCAGGGGCACTGCACGTGGATTCGGCGCAGGCGCTTCCTGCATTCCACTGCAGGATGATCGGCAATGACTCGTGACAAAGCAAAACCTGTTGGGGCCATTTGGCACAGGGTTTGAGCCACGAAACACGTGCGGCCTGCCAGGATACTGTATGTTTCTGAAGCCCTTATTTTGTCAAGTGCTCCAAATCTCCCAGACACCCCTCTGGAAAGCCGGGGCAGAACTCATGTCATGGCCCACCCCAGGCCATTGCTCTTCCACACGCCTCAGGGCGCCAGCTGGGGGCAAGCCGCTGCCGTGCCTTCAAGGCTACGCTCAGCTGGCTGTCCTGGGAACGGACGTTTTAGGACACGTACCACAAAAATGGCTTAGCTTGCGGGCAAGGCCATTCCACCAGCTTCAAAACTGGTAAGAGTGGCATAACATCTACAGAGTTGTTATTTCCAAACACTCACAATACACACACATGCTCGAAGCACTCAATGATGTTCGCCTTTTCAGCCCCTTATCCAGGACCCCCATCAACATCAGGGGGGATCCATGCACGCCCAGCGGCCAAGTCTGCTGCCAGCGCAGCTGCCTTGGCCTGGAGCCGCGCCCGAGTGCGGGGGCTCTGCACGGGGCCTGGCACTTCCGGCTCCGCGGGCTGCGCGGATCGGCCGGACCCAAGTCTCCAGGCTCCAATGAGCAAGCGTTTGTCCAGATCGACTCGACTGTGGCCGCTTTTGCCCACTTTTTTTGTGGCATCCACGAAGATTGAAAAAAGGTGCTGTGTTATGTTCAAGTTGTTTTGAAACCTGTTTCCTCGAGCTCCAAGTGTTTCCTCAGCTCTTGGCTGGCGCCAGCCGACCGGGATAGGCCACCTGCAGGAAGAGGCCACGCATTTTGTGTGTGTGGGCTAGAACACGCAGCCACAAGAATGATCTCCCTACTGCGACAACCACTCGCCCGTTGCAACAGCAGCCCATGCTTAACACCTCTTCAAAACATGGACTTGTGCTGTGCATTGCTGCTCTGCAAAGATGGCCAGGCCTGCCAATGATGCCGCCTGACCAAGCCAAGTACCACTGGCGGGTCAAACAAGTTGGGTCAGGCTGAGAAATTTTGGAAACAAACACCCGCAGGCACCCCTCAGTCAAACAAAGGCTCATTATATATTCAAGATTTGCCTAAGAGACGAGTGTGTCGACTGGCAAACAGCAAACACCGAGGATCATGCACTGGTTTGAGACACATCGAGCACCTGTGCGTGTTCGCATGTATTCGCCCATGCCCAAGCTCACACCCTCCTTTGGCCCACCTCCACCATCGTGCAGCTCCGCCGTGAGGTCGGTGCTACTATTCCAGGCCACCCTCTGTGTGTCTGCAGTGTTGGCTGGAGTGATCTATATATAACTTGGAAGTAGGGTTTGTTTATGTTTGATGCACGCATGTGTTAGACTATAGACTATAGATTAGTTGCGGCCAGGGCTGCACGAACCTTGTTCTTTCGGGTGGCAAAGTTCCATTTCTCTCAAGCAGCTACAGTTTTCTGAAGGGTTTGTGCGGGTATAGGTTGACAGCTGTGTTTCAATCAGCGTTCCTGCAATCATACCAATGTACTAAGGGGTTCAGCAACCGGGCCCATCTTAGCTCCCAGCATGTCTTCACCCCCCAGGCTGTGTTTGAAGTTTCCCCTATCTCCGTGTCCGTGTGACGCTGAGAATCAGCCAATCTTGAAAATGCAATGATTTGGTCTTCTTCCCCATCTTCCCACACGTCTGAAAGTATGTGGATATCTCCAAGCCCCTCCTTGAGGAAAGGAGAAGAGTGCGGGTGAATTAGACTTGATGGTCTGAGACTGGCGGAAGTTCCTGCTGAAATTCAAGTCTGGCTGCCAAAGCCTGCACCAGGCGAGCAGAGTCGACCGTTCTGATTCCCACAAAACAGCGATCAATCGAATGGAATGCATCTCAAGCACAGGGGTTGGGGCCAATTAAACAGGTGGCTTGATACCCAACTTGGCCATCAAGAAGGCCATTACTCTGATGGGAGCCCAAGCACGTTTTGACGAGGAAAGGTCTCTGCAGTGTATCGGTCCAAAGGCTGTTGCTCAACATGACTTGACCCTTGTGTCAAGAAACTTTGGATGCAGCATGTGGTGCTGAAGACCTTTAAAGAAGACATGCTCTCTAGACTCTAGATCACTGAGTGAATACTTAAAGCCACAGTTTGCTGGCTTTGAGCACAAAGCACCCAACTCCTACGTCTGCAAGATTCAAAGGCCAGCCCCACTTTGTGAAAATGTCTCAGTCCGCTTCATATCAGGCTTCAGTCTTTCTTCGGGGGTCGCCCGATGCCCATTGACCCATGCACCCATCGCTCACCCGAAAAGGCTCTGATGTCCTCTGGCTCCTCATCGCGGGACCGAAGAACCTCAAAGGTGAGTTCCAGCAAATGCCTCGATGAGCAGCTTTGGAGGCCCTAGAAGCCCTGCGAATGGAACAGGCAGCAGGCATTCTTGGTGCCAACTAGCTCAACATGCATCATGGAAGGAACAGGTAGATACGATTATAGCGTGCTTCTGGTGCAAAATGATATATGATGCAAAAAACAAGTGTTGCAAAACTTGTGTGCTTATTCTTGACCAGAATCCCAACAATCCAACTGCAGCTTCAGTGTGCTGAAGCCACCTCGCCCAACACGCTCTTGGAGCCCTAAAACTCTGCACCACAAGCTGATGTCAAATTGTTCTACATTTGTCTCAAACATGGAACGGGCCTACACTCTACACCAATTGCTGCTTATGCTAGGGTTCCAGGATTCGTTCTGTGTCGGCCATCTCAAATCTATTGGAGCAAACTGCTTCCCATCCTCAACACAGCCCCTTTCGCCAAAAACCAGGTGCCGCACGCCGCGAGAAGGAAGTGGCTCTCAGCAACTTCCCCTTTCAGCTCTAACACTGCGAACCTGGTCAGGAGCTACAGTACCCACATCGTGTCACAGCGTCCTTCTTTGCTGATCTTACTTTTGACCTTACTACTCCGTGGAGACTCTGCTGCTCTCCCCCTTTTGTAACCACCATGTCGGCCCACCGGGAGGAAAAAGGGTATTGTACACCAAGCCAACTAAGCAAAAGCCATGCATAGGGATCTGCTGCGATAGATAGCCTGCAGGCTTTCCCGCCTGTGCCAGTAAGCCCCAATCTCAGCCGCAAAGCTGTCGAGTCGGTCGCATCCTGCGCCACAGCGCAGGAAGCTCAACCAACACCTGGCATCTTGGCGGTCCAAACATGCCGTTGAACCATGTTCAGTCGTTTTCAGCCGTGAAACGTCTCCAAGGATGAAATGTTCGCAGCACCCGGCCGGTCCAGGATGCAAGAGCGGAGCATGGCGCTACAAGGTCGGTACAGTATGGTACAGTGGCATCCCCCATAAGGACTATCTGATCCAGCCTTAACGCCTCCACTGCAGAGAGGGCATCTGCTGCACTGGAGCCTGTCAGGCTGTAGAGGCTTGCTCAAGGGCCGCCACAAAAAACACTGTGGAACGTTGCCTCCTTGACGGTGCTGAATGTGCCCCTTTTTTTGAACACTCCTCTCCTTGCTTTGGCGATTTCTTGCACAGCATGGAGTGTTGCAACGTGTTGCAAAAGTCTTACCCGGCACGGCTGCTGTCCAAAGACAATGGACCTCAAACGAACAAACATCGACCCAAATCCACCCCACCTGATTTCAGGGGGCTTAGCACACTTCGTCGCAGCACCGCCAAAAGCTTTTCGGGCTCCTGGGTGAAAGGGCTCAAGCGACTTCAAGCTTGTACACCTTGAAGATGAGGCTATGACTCACAAAAAATCAGACCCAGCTGTCACCAACCTGCAGAAATTAAACTACCTTACTTTTACGGTGCCCTATTTTCGAGCCACAGCCAAGTCCCACTTGCATCTTCGCACACCCCAAATTCACAATATTCACGATCCTCTCGCAGCCACCATGCCACAGCACGGCGACCCACCACTTCGCAACCTCAATCAGAACCATGGCGGACACGAACAAGTACCAAGTGGTACTCCTTTGCGCTTCTTCGCCTCTAATTAACTTTACTAGCCGCAGCGAGGCTTTCAAAGGCTAACGTGGCATTGGGGTCCCTTTCTGCCCCTCACTCCAGCAACACAGGAGACACACTCATGTGCCAAGTTAGTTCCTCCAGGTTTCAGAATATGACTGGAAGAAGCAGCAATCTCATGATGGGTGGAGCTTTACTGAAAGGCCCCTGCAGGAGATTTGAACACCTTCTGCAACGTTGAGAGCCACACTCATGCGAACAAAGCGAATCACCTGCCGAAGCAAATTCGCAAGTGGTCATCCCAACTTGGCTGTTTGTTGGCGGTCCGTCATGGGAGAAGCCCATTTCTCATCAACATCCTAGCCTAGCTGGCCGAGCTAGGCTGTAGAAACAGTGGAGCCTTTGAGATGGCCAAAGTGCCGTTTCAGAACTCATGCTCTCTTTCCGGCCCGTTCTTTTCCCCATACATCCCTCCCACTAGGCCAAAAACAGGAAGATACCTCTGGCGCCCTCGCCCGCTGAAAAACGCCTCCGGCTGGATCTCCGACTCCGACTCTGCAGCTGCGATCCACATGGAACGCTGCTCCTCACGCAAAAGCCTGACCGTCAACAGAAAGGGTTCCCCACAACTGAGAGATACGTGCCTGATGCCCAACGCAGTTTGAGGGAGGAGCTCGGAGATCGTGCGAAACCCACTTCTTTAGTATTTACATAGAGGCCGCTGGCAAGCAAGTGGTGCATAAGACCTCATAGACATTTGGGGCTCATCATCACGTTTTGGAACAGCACACCGCACTTCGCACCTGGCGCACAGCTCTGGCCGCACCACAGACGCAGAGGCCAGAGCACGGGCCAAAAGTGCCAGCTGCTTCTCATCAGAGACAGGAGGCAAAAGCCTGGAGCCACAAAGAGTTCCGCTCCAGACTCCAGAACCCACCCATTATAGGAGACCTTGATGTCGCTTGAGGCTTCAAGGCCAGTCTGACACGTCTGTTTTTCACCAGAACTTGTCAACACATTCCGCCCCGTGCGCCGTCAGCAACGCAAGAGGAGAATCGAACAGAAGTGAGAAGAGGACACTCAGTGCAATCCAACATCCATTGAAAGCACCCCTCCCGGCAGCAGCTTCCGATGTTGCACCTCCCCAATGCTGGGACGCCATCACATGGCAAGAGTGGCTCGAGGACCTGAAGCATGCAGGCAGGTACCACTGATGCAAAGTGTGCAAATCACTGGAAAACACAAACCGTGCCTGCACCGCTGTGACTTCGGGCTCCTCTTTGGCCCCTGAGCCCGGTGAGTTGCTGTTCGCGTCTCCAAAACTGTGTGTGCAAAGCGGCATGCCACGCGGTAGCACAAACAGATTCCAAAGAAGAGAAAGGGGTGGAACAAAACTTGTGGCCCAGAGGGGGGGGCGAAAGCTAGGCAAACAAACAACGCTGGGGCTCTTTAGGCAGCAAAAGCCTGGCCGGGAATCGCAACATGCCATGGCCAAGGGAAAAGGAGAGTGCCAACAACGCCCCCCCAATACGACCCCAACACAGCCAACACATGGCAACACACAACCACCCCAGCAACCGCCGCAGCAGCAGCAGCAGCAACAGCCACAACAACAATAACTGTAACCAGCAGCGGCAACGGCAGCAAGCAGAAGCTACCAAGCAGCAGCAGAAGCAGCAGCAGGAGCAGCTAGCAAGCAGCAGCACCAGCTACCAAGCAGCAGCAGCAGCAGCATCAACAGCAGCTACCAAGCAGCAGCAGCAGCTACCAAGCAGCAGCAGCAGCAACAACAGCTACCAAGCAACAGCAGCAGCAGCTACCAAGCAGCAGCAGCAGCAGCAGCAGCAGCTACCAAGCAGCAGCAGCTACCAAGCAACAGCAGCAGCAGCAGCAGCTACCAAGCAACAGCAGCAGCATCAGCAGCAGCTACCAAGCAGCAGCAGCATCAGCAGGAGCCACCAAGCAGCAGCAACATCAGCAGCAGCTACCAAGCAGCAGCAGCAGCAGCAGCAGCAGCAAAGCAAAGCAAAGCAGCAGCAAAGCAGCAGCAGCAGTAGCAGCGACCAAGCAGAAGCAGCATCAACAGCAGCTACCAAGCAGCAGCAGCAGCAGCAGCAGCAGGAGCAGCTACCAAGCAGCAGCAGCAGCAGCTACCAAGCAGCAGCAGCATCAACAGCAGCTACCAAGCGCAGCAGCAGCATCAACAGCAGCTACCAAGCAGCAGCAGCATCAACAGCAGGTACCAAGCAGCAACAGCACCAACAGCAGCTACCAAGCAGCAGCAACAGCACCAACAGCAGCTACCAAGCAGCAGCAGCAGCAGCAGCAGCAGGAGCAGCTACCAAGCAGCAGGAGCAGCTACCAAGCAGCAGGAGCAGGTACCAAGCAGCAGCAGCAGCAGCTACCAAGCAGCAGCAGCATCAACAGCAGCTACCAAGCAGCAGCAGCAGCAGC